CAACACAATATCCCACGCTTTGCTACACACCCTTCTCAAACCCGGCTCCACCACTATGGCTGCTTGGGATCACCTAACTGATATCTTCCACGACAAAAAAAAATCATCACACACCCTCTACCTCGAAGATCAATTCTCTCATATTAGGTTAGATAATTTCCCATCCATCTCCGCCTACTGCCAAACACTCCAAACCATCTCTACTCAACTGACCAATGTTAACACTCCGGTCAATAATAAACGTTATGTTTTATGCATGATCCGTGGCTTTACAGAGTCTTATGAAATTGTGGCCTCCTTCATCCAACAAACCGATCCATTACCTTCCTTTGATTGGGCTAGATCCATGATGCTTTTGAAGGAATCTTGCTGATCCCATCAACTGACTGCCACTTCATCTTCTTTTGGATTTGCTCTCACAGCTTCCAATCATCCAACTTCTCCTACACCTTTGTCGGGAGGCTATCATGGACATGGGGCCGACCACTACGACTCTAGTTGTGGGAAAGGATGTGGGAACACCCTACGCTCACTTTATAGCCATTTTCCATTTTGGGCCACGTGGGAACACCCTACACACTCGCAACCTGCCAGAATTCTGGGCCACTGTTCGCAAGCAACGATTGTTGGACTCGGTCAGTCCCCTACAACCAACTATCTTCCCTTCGACTTTTATGCCTCCATGAACACCATGACACTCAATCCGCCCAATGATAGTTGGTACAGTGAGGCTACCAGTTACATGATGTCGGACTCAAGTACTCTCTCGATCGTCTTTTATTAATATGACCTTTGAAGGCAATATCATCGTTGGAAATGGTTCATCCATTCCCGTTACATGTCACTGTCACACCTCTTTCTCCTCTCCCTTTCCTCCACTTAAACCACTAAATGTCCTACAAATCCCACATATTATTAAAAATTTAATTTCGTACAAGAACCCCGATCATGCGGTGTAATAGTCAAGGTGATTTGTATTCAGTGTGTTTCCTCCTCTCCAATACCAATTTACATCTCACCAACTTTACCGGCCTCTCATCCATTACTTGGCACAATCGTCTCGGACACTCCGACATTCATTTTTTTCGTAGTCTTAGCACTAATAATCTCATTGATTGTAACAAAACATATATTGATGTTTGTCACTCTTGACAAATGGGAAAACATAATAAATTATCTTCTGCCCATCTTTATCATATACTCACACCCCTTTTGAAATCATACACAGTGACATGTGGACTTCTCCAATTCTAAGTTCCACTGGTCACCGATAATATTTTCTTTTTCTAGATGATTTTTCCATTTTTATGTGGATTTATCCTCTCAATCGCAAATCTGATGTGCTTTTTACATTTGTGCAATTTTACACGTTTGTGCAAACTCCATTATAAACAAATATTAAAACCCTACAATGTCATAATTGTCATGAATATAATAATTCATTATTTCACAATTTCTGCTCCATATGTGGAACCTCTTTCCACTACTTTTGTCCATATACCTCACCTCAAAATGGTAAACCAGAATGCAAAATACGCTCCATAAAGAATATTAGTCATACCTTTCTGCTTCATGGCCACATGTCTCCATAATATTCTCCTAAGCAAATCCTTCACCTTTAAATCCCCTACCATAGTCATATATCATAAAGAACCTACTTTCTCTCGTTTGCGCATTTTAAGTTACTTATGCTACCCCCATCTCCCTCCTACTCACAAGCTCGTTTGCCTACTCCACAAACTCGCTTGCATTTTCAGTTACTTATGCTACCCCCATCTTCCTCCTACCCACAAACTCGCTTGCACTATCCCTTGTGTCTTTCTCGGTTTGCCTACTCAGCATAAAAGGATACAAATGTCTTGACTTATCTACACATTGCATCATTATTTGAAGAACGTTACAATTAACGAATCCCTTTTCCCTTCCAACAACAAAAACCGCCCATTCCCCCCTCCTATGACTTTCTGTCTGCCTCCCCATCCCCTTGTCTCATACCTAACTTACTATCCCCTCTAACCAACCAAACAAACCCCACACCCTCTCCAGATTCTCCTGACACGTCTCCCTTTACGTATTCCCACCATAACTTTAAAGCACCCTTTACCCACTACTACAGAACCATCATAATCAGTTCAGCCCATCCACCATCTTATGATCGCTCGTAGCAAAGACGAAATATTCCGTCCCTAACAAATCTATACGCTACACACCTAAGCCCTCACATCCATTTGATGGTGTGATAGAATTATCATGCCATGCATGAGCATGATCATGCATGCATCATACACACGTAACAACCTGCTCGCCGAAGGTCTCGCATGCTAGCGCACAACTCATTTATTAATGTGTAAATAATATCCACTCATTCGATTATGTTCTTTGGCTACTCTTCCATACATAGTTATCGGTTAGCAATTGTAATTTTTTAGCAAAGCAAGCTATTTATACTGAATGAATAACACACTAATCTTTGCGGTGAATACTATTATCTTACAACTCTAATTAATGATTGAATAAAATTAAAGGTAGTGATTAAAAGTTCTAATTTTAAAGTATTATCAATAGGACACTTCTACACACACGTGTACACACACTGGAGAGAGAATTTAGATCAAAGAAAAACACGATCTAAGGAGAAAAATGAGACTGAATTGCACCGTTACATTTGGAGATTGTGCATTATGTATTGATGTGAACAGAAATGTGCACCATCACGAATCAGAATATTTGTGTCATTTATGTAAACCAATTCAATTTTTATGTCTATGTAAACGTATTGTATATTATCTTAGCCACGAGTGTGGACCGTTATGAACCGTAATGTGTATCGATGCATCGTTCTGGATCATTCTCATATACCTGAGAAAAGAAATGTTCTCATTAGAACCATATACCCTATACATAGATTTGAAATTGTTTCAATCTTTTTGTATAGAATAACTAACCAAATGACATCTTATTTGTTTGTATCATAATATTCATTGCATTATTTCCTATTTCTCATATTTAAATTGTAAAGTGCACAGATGCGGATCCAAAAAACTTATCTTGTGGGGGCGTAGTTAAATCAAAATAATTGTAACACTTCATTATTATAATTTTCTTATACTAGTCTCTCTGTCCCAATTTAAGTTCCCGCTTTTCTTTTTTGAACGTGATGACTAAAGATTCTCATTTCTATTTTAAGAAACAATTAGCACTATTAAATGATCACTAATTTAATGATCAAATATTAAAAATAATACGCAAAATATCTTTAATATCACAATTATCATCAAGATCTCCCCCATATTCAAATTCATGATTGACTTTTGTGGATTTTTATTTGAATCTTTTATTTTACTTCTGATGTTGAAAATAACATATTTAAAACATCTAAATTAATTCATCATCATCATCATATCATCATCATCATCATCATCACCCCAATGCCACAAAGGCTCCCACTTGCGGTGGGGGTGAGAGGGGTCAGATGTATGCAATCTTACCCTTGTACTAAAGCACAGAGATCCGAGAAAAGATCTAAATTATTTATTTTTAAAAAATTAATTAGACACTGATACAAATTGGTCAACATTAATGATCAAATGAATACATTAAATATAAAAGTTAAAATAAGAGCGTAACTTTGAACAAGGAGGAAGATAATTGTTTACTTCCAAATTCCAACCTAGTTTTATTTTATGCTATTAAGTCCAAAATTTACGTGTAATGATGTTTGTAGCTCACAATCAAAGTCTATTTTAAAATCAGTTATACTTATATGTAGCATGGATTTTTGATATCATTAATTATAATTAAGAATCGGAAGTGGTCAATACACAAACGAATGATCTAAGTAGAAGAATATAGAATTGAAACATGAAGGTTTAGCGTAATTCATTATCCTAACTTTAATTTCTATTTGAAGACTATGAACACATTATAGAAGTGATTACTCAGAGCTTTAGAAATTTCTTAGGGATGCCCAACTAATTTTGTAAATTGGACATGTGAATGGATTATCCTCCTATCATTATTATAAGGTAGCAACCTTTTTTTAATCATCAAAATGGCTTTCCATTAAAATAGAGCAAACACGCAAGACCAAATCCAGACAGATATTACAGATCCGATCGTATGTCCTAGGAATAGACTTAGAGTTAACCACCCATACAAAGCAACCTGACTCGCTAGACACAAAACGGGCAAGAGGAAGCCTGAAATGGTCAAAAATGAAACACTGCCTATCAAGAGTTCATTCAAAATCAAAATACTCCAACCATACTTGCTCAAACTGAAATAAATATAAGTACCGTGAAAGGAAAAACAATACGAAAATAAAAACTTTTCCCAAATTACTTCCTCACAGGGAGGTGGTTCCGGAGGAGGGCGAGCTGCTGTAGTATGGTAAAAGAGAATTTCAACCGCCATAAAATTCATCAGAGAACCTATCATGCCAATCACCGGAACGGTCACCTTCCCATCGCTCGTCACAATTTCCCCTCCAACGTCATCGTCGAAGATCAATCCTTCGCTGTCTTCGCCGATCTTTTGCAAGACCACATTCTGGATTGCACACTTCTCACAAAAACGGTAGAGCTGCCGACCTTTTGCAAAACCTCACCCCACTCACTGACATACATCCGCCTCCCGGCGGCCGCTCATCGGTAGAGCCGATAGCGGACAAATAAACCCTAGCGGCGAAAATCGCCCTAGAGAGATAAACTCCAAAACTAATACGTACTAGACAGTTAGATAATTATCTAAAGGTAGCAACCTTTAGATAATTAGATCAATAGTATATTAAATTCTATTTAATTGGATAGTTAGATAAATAGTATATTAAATATGGGTCCTACTATTTTTGTATATATAGAATATATATGTATAATCCTATATGAGGATTTTATGTATTAATATAAATTATATGCTATAATGTTTTCCTTTCCTCACCATTACTTAGGGGGTGGTAGTACATTACTTAGGGAGTCTCACTATTTTTAGGTTGATGCTCGCAGGAATACCTGCACTCTTGCAGACATGATTATTTTCTGGAGTAGAGACTTGATTCGTGCTCTGTCATTCCATTTTATTTACTAAATTAAATAATAGCTGCTCATGACCTGTCAAACTTGATACTTATTTTAAAGATTTGATCTGGACTTGTTTGCCCCATATTTGCCGCATGAAGCTTGATTTTGGAGATAATTAATTGCATCCCTTTAATCATATTATATTAAGACTATTTTATTATTTATTGAATGGAACATTGTTATGTATTTTTTATTTTTCAAGAGTTCAACACCAATAGCCGCTGTTTTTCTCCCTAGGGTTAGTGCCGCTAGGGTCGTTTTTTCCGGTTTCGATCTCTTTGATCGAAGATCGGCTTTGCTTTCTTGGTTTCAGTTTCGTCTTCATCAGCTTGTCATCACGCAAAGGTTGGGCTAGAGTCTTCTGACTCGGGGCTGAAGCTTGCGTTGGAAGGGTTCGGCGGACCTGCTTGTCTGATTCGGCAGAGGAAGAACGAAGGGAAGGAATCTCTCTGTCATGATGTATAAGGAAGAACGCGAACACGAAGGGGGGCCGATGGAGATCATAGCCGACTTGTACGTGGGACGAGGAGAGTTGAATGGGCTTCGAGTAGGCCTGGTTTCGGTTGACAATGAAGGATCAATTTGAGTGGTACCAATGGTACGACCTCCTCCTGAACCACCGCCATGGGGCGGCGGGTCAAAACTCGTTTCCCTGCGTGCTGGTTGTTATTTTATTGTTTGTTTTTGTTGTTGTTTTTTTCACGGTCAAGGTCAAGGTTTTTAGGACTTCCAGCTTGAAACTGATTCTGAGATGGTAATCAAAGCTTTGAAAGGTGTCCAAAGACCAGCTCTCCATCTGCTGCATTCGATTAAACAGGGTCAGAGAATCTGTTAGGAATTAGGCATGTGTCAGTTAAGGCATATCTATAGGGAAATCAATTCAACAACTCATGCTTTAGCCCAAGAAGACATTCATCTTAGTCAACTTAAATTTTTTAACAACAAGCTCAGTCTTTCCAACTCCATTTCAAGTCTCATTGAATTGGACTTTCCTAATATTCCTTGTATTCGCTAATTTCTTCTCATATTTTTGTATTGTTGTTTGGGTAAGGTATAGTCCCCCCAAACTTTTCTTTTTCTTTCTCAGTGCTTCTTGTATTTTGAAAAGGTATACCTTCTCTGGTGGGGTATTGGTTTAGTCCCCCTCACCTTTTGTACTTTTTCTTATTTTTAATAAAATCCGGTAAATGTTACCCGGTAAAAAAAACTTGGTATAGAGGAGTTTTTTCCCAATCTTATTTGCCAATTAAGTGTACTTTTAAACTTATTTCCCAAAACAGGGTGTTTTCTTCCATGTCATCCACTTTCGCCACATCACCTGCTCCACATCATTCACCAGTCCTCACCTATATTCCACGTCATCAGATATTTGGCTATTGCTCTTAAAATAAAAAAAGTCCGTTGCATCTAGGAGTTGAACTCACGACCATATCGATACACTTCCAAAATGCAAACTACTGAACCATGTTGACTTGTTTACACAATATCACCTTTACAACATTGTAACAACTACGGAGTATGTATTTAGTATTTTGAAGTTCAACATAATATGATATATTCAATTCAAAAATAATTTAAAATATCTCTACATTAAATAAAAACAAGAAAAAATTAAATTCTAACGGTTGGACTAACTCACCCTAAATTTAACAAAAAAATTATATTATTAATGAAAAAACATGTAGAAATATAATTTTTGTTTACAAAAAATTAAAAAAAAAAATACAACACTAATATACACAATTTCTTACAATCACAATTTCAGTTTTTTACAAGCAAGTATGATGTGGATTTAAATCTATATTGACGTTTTTTATTTAGTGTAGATTTATTTTAATTATTCTTGTATAGCATATATCAAATTATGTTTTGTTGTAAATTTAATTGAAATTTTCACTACAAGAAAAAAGCCTTTTAGGGAAGGGAAAATTGGTCGCAAAAACATAAAAAGCAGTCGCTAATGACTATTTGCGACCGAAAAAAGTGGTCGCGCGTTGGTCCCTATAGGCTTGGCCGCAAAAGACAATTCGCGACCAAGAAAAGAGGTCGGTCGCTAAATCATTTAGGGACCAAGCATAATGTGGCCGCAAATGATATTATTAAAGACCACTTTTTAAGAGCAATTGTCACCAGTATCCCTTCGCTAATACAAATTTACGTATTTGCAACAATGTACCCTTTCATTAAAATAATACTCCGTATTATATACTAATAATTTTAACTTTGTTAGCATTATTTAACTAAATATTGATTTGTTTATACTTCATCATATACGATAAATATAATATACTTCCCATACATAAAATGCCAACGAATACATCACAGCTACTCATATAACTTCAACAAAACTCATCATTCAAATTATTTAATCATCAAATGTTCATACAAACTGCTCCTATTTCATGAGCATGGTTCAGTGCTCGAACATATTACAAGCTGGAGATTATCTTTTAACATACTTAGGCGACTCATATGTAGCGACTTTCTCGATGCCAGTTTCCTAAGAAAAACAACTTTCTCCAAGCCAGTTTCCTAGAAATAACGCACATTTTGGTTGATCATCTGTACTTTCCTACACAAAGAAAATATTAAACACAATCACTTTTATAACACATACGAAGTAGAAGTAATGAATTAAGGTGCACCATACCACCTAACTTGTCATAGAGGTGTGTCATAATAGTAAAATTCAAAACTAGTACATTGATTTGCCATCATATCATTTGAAAAAATACTAAAATGTTTTACCTGGACATATTCTTCATCAGACCTTTCAGAAGACCAATATTGGTATTAGAAATATACCCATCGATCCGATTATAGCAAATTCTACAATAAGAAAATCACATTTTCATTAATTTCATATGCATAGCTTCACAAACTCACAAGTTCAAATATTATAAAACACCATATTCGAGTTTACAACAATAATACAGTATCTCGCAAAAAAACAACACTGCATACAGAAAATCAAATATGTATGTAAATATAAAATGTGTGTGTGTGTGTCAGCAAATATATAGCTATAATCCAACATCAGCTATGCATATACTCTGTAGCACCATGATCCATAGAATTTAAAGCATACGCGGAAAAGCATTTAGCAAATAGAAATTTGGTAACAGATCCAAAAAACATCATGAATTTCATTTTAAAAGTCCTACATGTAATAAACTTACAATGTACAGTTTGTAAAACTTGCTTGCCGACTGCTGCTCGCCATTAGTTGTCTCAAACGACAGGAATCTTAGACTGAGATTTCAGATGAAGAAAATAGGTATCTTAACACAATTAAAGGCCAGCAAATCAGGAAGGATATTTTACATAAATAAACTTACCTCCAGATCCCATGTAACCCATCGTACATGAAGTTTTTGTGGTAGGCAATAAGAGCATGCAAAAGTTAGAACTATATTATAGAAAATGCAAATTTCATCTCCAGACAAGAGTAACAGAGTAACCATCGCAAATAAAAAATTCTTTCAATCCAGACCACTTCTTTTAGGTCTGATATCAAATTATAAAACACTATTACTTCTCCCAAACCCAAAAGAAATGCTAATAGACTATGTATGCTACATTATTCCTTCTTCTCAAACCCAAAAAATATAGTAATAGACTATGTATGCTAAATTATTACTTCTCCCGAAACCCAAAAGACTATATTATCTAGAATTTGTGAAGAACAGTATTTGTTTCCAGATATGATTTTACATACAGAGTATTAGGATAATAGTCTTTGGTCATCTCCAGAAAGTTCTTTAATTAGTTCTTCCTCCAACCAAATGTAAGTTTACTTTGACCTAAATAAATTTTACTTCTAAATCCCTTCTTTTTTCTAGTTTTCAATTCCTAAAGTGGAGACTCGAAGTCTAATGACATCCAAAATGAAATTCTCTAATAACAACAACCACATCTGCTGAAATCTAGCAGCAAATCTTTCAATACAATTTTCATATCTTCGAACTCAAACATCAAGCAGCAAGCTATGTATCAAATATCATTACCTATTTTGAGTATCCCTTTAAGTTGCAACTTCCTCCTATCATCATCATTATCAGATTTTATCACACAATAATCAGTGCCATTATCATAATCTGTATATGTATGGGAATGAGAAGCAATAAAAAGAAAATTGAAGGCAATTTACCTTGACAACTAAGCCCACCGGCTATTCACGAGTGGTCTCATCAAATCTCACTTAGAGAGGTGGGATTTCCCGTTCTATTTTCCTGATAAAGACCTACTAAATGTTATCTCAAATGACCACCAAAAACCTCCGATCTTCTTCTGGGGTGAAGGCGCAATCACAGGAGTGGGTTTAGCGGTGCTTTTTTAGAAGCTAAATCTTCGTGGCAGATTTTGTACCGAAGACCATTTTGACACCTTCACACCTTCGATGGACTTACTGTTATGCTCCACCCGATTCAGAGCCAAATAGACCGGATCCAAAAAAAATTGCAGAGTAGACGAAGATGAGAATCTGCTAGAATGTGATTATGTTGTTGATGAATAATTATTAGGTTTTTAAGCCTTAAATGTATAAAAAAAGCAGACACTTATGATTTAGGGAAACCTTAGACAAGCTCCCGACGGCGGCTATTGTAGAGGCGGCGTGAAGATGCATGTTCTGTGTCTACCATGGAGCATCTTTTTTCCATCAATTCCGATAGCAAACGGCTGCGGGCTTCGGTGTCTTTCCCTGTGTATCGGAGGAGGCTAGGGTTTTATGTACTTCGAGAAAAAAGAGTGAAAGAGCGAGGTTTTTAGAGCGGGTCTGAGGCTTGAGCGCGAATTATTTTTAGAGCACCGCCAAATGAATTTCGGTATACCGCGCGGGATATTTTTAACGGAGCGCCAGTTTTAGGGACCAAAAATAAAAGGTAATACCGAAGGGATATTAATGTCGTCTCAAATATAAAACAGGGTTTTGTAATTTGCGATAAAATAAAAAAGTGGTCGCTATAAGTATACATATTGCGACCATTTTCGACGACGGCTGATACGTTTGTAATTTCCGTGTGTTTATTTACGTTTTTAGTTAGTTTTGGTTGTTTAATATTTCGGAAATTACACACTTTCGGTGTAATAGTTTAGTTTGTTAAATTCTTGTAATTTGTTTAGATTAGGTT